GAGTCTCGATTTGTCCTCACCCGGATTTATCCTCCCCGTCCTGGCCTCGTCGTCACGTGCCAGCAATGGACTCGCCCTCGAGGGTCGAGGGAGTTGCCACCTCTTCCTCGGCGGAATTCGACTGCACGTAAGAGTGACCCTTCGCCTGAGTGACCTTTGGCGCGGGCTCATTGGGTCCCCTCGATCGCCGAATGCGATGGGATCGTACCGTCTTGCGCTCTAGTGCTTGGCCCCCTCGCGGCCCCCAAAAAGCCGCGCACCCAAGGTCACTCTTACCCAGGCTCGCTCTTGCGTGTAGTCGGATCTTTTCCTTGGCGGAAGGCGGCGGAAGGCTGGCGGAAGCCAGTGGAAGTGAAGCCACGGGCGCCCCCGCCGGCGGAAGAGCCCGCTGCGAAGGCCAGCCGAGGCCCGTGGAGGTACAGATGTCGGCCTCTCCCAAGAGATGGCAAGATGCTTTTTTTGTTCAGGGTTTATGGGCCTGCCACGTAGGTTGGCCCAGTGTGTGTGTATATATATATATATGTGAAATGGGTAATCGGCGGCGAGCGAGGGGGGGAAATGAGAAGGGGCGGGCCTTCTTAGAAGGCTCGGAAGGCCTCGGGTCTTCTGAGAAGTTCAAAGCCTTCCCCGAAAACATAGGGAACCTCTCAGACGGCTGGAGGGCTTTTGAGAAGCCTCGCCGCCTTCTGAGAAGGCCTGCCTCCTCTCGCTTCCCCCCAGGCGCGCCCTCGATTCGCCCACTCCGAATCACACCTCCGACTCGCCCAGCTACGTGGTCACTCGCCCTTGCCATGCGCGCTGATTGCAGTTGGCAGGAGTCCGAGGCGGGGATTTATTGATAACCACTGCCTGGGGAATCGATTGTCGCGGACCTCCACAGGTGGTGGATATATATATATATATATATATATATATATATATATATATATATTGATATATTGATATATTCGGGCCCCCGGGGGCAAGTATTCCCCAATCAGTGCTTGCACTGAAGGGGTCCTAGCGGAAGTTGAAAGATTTGGCGAAAGTTTCTTGTCGATTTTGGTAGCAGGCTGGGTTCCCGGGTTCCCGGTTACGGGTTCCCGGGTTCCTTGTTATTGGTTCCGGGCCGATTTCGGTGGGTTCTGGGCTCCGGGGCTCCCAGGTTCCCGGTCGATCTCCTCAGCGAAAACCATCCACTGATTGGGGTTATATATATATATATATGTATATATATACATATATATACACATATATGTATACACAGTGGGGGCATGCATCAAGAAACCATGTGCTTTTCGTCAGGGTATCCTGGTTTTTTCGCTCCGTGCGCTGGGCGGCGACTTCCCGCGGCCGTTGAAGAAGCTGCTGCGTTCAGAGTGCTCCAGGTTTCCCCTCTGGTGCAATTCGCGCGCGGGTTTTCAGGGTTTGGTTTTTTGCGAGGGTTTCTTGCGGCCGCGCTCGCACTGTATACATATTCCTCTTCCTATATTTTTACAAGCCCGGGCGGGGGGAAAACCCATCCCCCCCCCCCCCCACAAAACCGGACTCCCGGGATCTGGGGCTTTGGGAACCTCCAGACGGACCTCGAAGCGCCCCCCGGGCCTCGCAGGGCGTTTTGCCAAGCCTTCCCAGCACACCTAGGGCGATCAGGGGGGTCATCGGAGACGTCCCAGGAACCCCCAAGACAGCACAAGAGCGCTCCAAGAGTGACCGACGTGACCTCAAGATGGCCCAAGAGGCCTCCAAGAGCACTCCCAAGAAGGCCCCCCGAGGCAAAGATCATTGATTTTCTGTTGGTCTTTGGTGAAGTCTGCGGTTCTCCTCTATTCGGCTTCCCGACGCTCCAAGACAGCGGTCTTCTGGGCGTTCGAAACCGCCTGGGGGGCTCCAAAATCGCCCCACAACCATCCGAAAGGGCTTCCAGGCAGTCCGAGAGAGCCCCCAAACGGCACAACACGGGTCCAAGATGGCCCTCAGAGAGCCCCATGGCGGCCCAAGATGGCCCAAAGACACCCTCCGAAGCCTTCCGAATCGTGACCCGGTCGTTCAGGGAGACCGCGGTTGGAGGCAGGGTGGCCCGAGGAAGCCCCTGGAGGCCCCCAGAATACGCCCAGGAGGTCTCCATAAGGCCGTAAGAAAGCCTGAAACAACATTTGTGAGGCCCCCAGATGCTCTCCAAGGAGGAGCCTCCGCAAAAAAGAGCTGAGGAGGATAGGGAGTGTGCGCAGGGTATGGCGAAAATAAGGAGACAGAAGCATGGAGAAAGGATAACGAAAAACATTATCATTATAGCGGCGATGCCGGAAATGGCAACAAGGAGTTATCGCTAGATTGTCGGCTTGACTTTCCTGTTATTTCGCCGGCATGCCAAACTTCAAGGACCAAAGTGCATGGCGCGAAGCGCCACTGCAGTGTTGTATATATATATATATATATATATATATTAAATATTCATGCCCACCGCCCGCTGGGGCACCAGGACGTCGGCTCCCAGGGGGTGGATGTGGATACGCCCCCGCCTCGCAGAGGGGGCGACACCCCCACGAGCGGAGCGCCCGCTCGGGGCCCCGACGCTCCCGGCGGACACGCGGGCCTGGCCGCAGAGGAGGAGGAGGAGGAGGAGGAGGAGAGGAGGAGGAGGGAGGAGGGGAGGAGGAGGAGGAGGAAGAGAAGGAGGAGGAGGAGGAGGAGGAGGAGGAGGAGGAGGAGGAGAGGAGAGGAGGAGGAGGAGGGAGGGAGGAGGAGGAGAGGAGGAGGAGGAGGAGGAGGAGGAGGAGGAGGAGGAGGAGGAAGGGGAGGAGGAGGAGGGGAGGAGGGGAGGAGGAGGAGGAGGAGGAGGGAGGGAGGAGGAGGAGGGAGGAGGAGGATGAGGAGGGGGAGGAGGAGGAGGAGGGGTGGCAGGGGGGAGGCCCAGGCTCGGAGTCCTAGAGGCTGGCGCCAGCACCATCGTTCAGGCGATCGCAAACATGGATTGAGGGGGCATGGCTTAGCGACGAGCCCCGTCTCCGCGCGGAATCGCGGATCTCTGCCGCCGAGCGAGGTGGCACCAGCCGCCTCTTGGGGAGGGCAGCTCCCCCGATCCATGGATTTGCCGACCGCGCGCGCCAAATCCACGGATCGCCAATCCATGTTTGCGCGCCCCTTGGTTGTCATTCATCATTAACCAACGGAATAAACACCATATTGCAGCCAATTTTAACCCACACTGGAGCCCTAGAGACTGGCAGCAGCACCAACCGGGGGTGTGCCTCCACCGAGGGAGGATGACCCCGATCTCGGTGGTGTTGGAAAGGGCCAGAGGCCCACCCAAACCCAAGTTTTAGGGCCCTTCGGTTTTGGGGGCGGCTTCGGTGGATCTGCTCCTCTCGCGAACGGTGCTGGCAGGAGACCCAGGGGGTCCACCTTTCAGCTCGCTGAGGGGCAGCGAACGCGATCTGTGTTTCTGGGGCGACGGAGGGGGAGGCAATGCTCGTGTAGGGTAAGAGCACACCTAAGCAGCCCAATCGTCGGTAAGAGCAAGCCTGAAGGTCCGAACTTGTCGCGAACGGGTGTCGTAAGGACTGTGATTGACGGATCAGGCGCGCTCGCTGAGCGTATTGGGATCTGGCCTTGGAAACAACGCTGCCCCCCAAGCGACCTCCAAGGTCCACCAATCATTTTGCGAGTGGCTTTTGGTATTGGTGGGTCGTCGCTGGCTCCCCATGGTGGTGGTCATACTGGGGCTTCGGAGGTGGCCGACCTACCACCAACGCCGAATCCACCCGACCCGCTCCCCCGAGGCCAGCTGTTCGCTCCGGATGCATCTTCGATTGTCCCGGGGCCCAGTCATTCGGGGCTTCGTAGAGGAAGGGCTATCCCACGGCGGGGCTGGGGAACGGGCCCAGCTGGATGCTCCCGGTTCACGCGTTTCCTTCTTCCAGCGGCCGTTCGGAGCGATTTTCCTTCCAACCCCACCTTTGCCCCAACCCCGCCGTTGTGCCCCCCCGATTCGTGGGCCCGATAGATGAAAAAGGCGGCGGGCTGCAGAAGAAAAGCGGCCCTCTACCTAGGCGGCGTTTGGGGCCCGAGAAGTGCACCTTTCTGCCGCCCCCATTTATCGCCCCCCCCCCCACACTCCCCCAAGCGACGCCTGACTGGGGGCAGAAGTCGAGGCAGAGCGCCCCGATTGAAAGACACGGGTGCTCGGAGATCTGGGGCGAGAGAGGTACTCGCAACTGCATCTGGGTGGGCTCCTCGCCAGGCTCATTTTTCACGTGTCGGGCACCGGAAACCTCCCCAAAAGTTCCCAAGGTTTCCCCCCCCCCCCCCTCGGGATCCGGAGGGGACAACCCAAGAAAAGCACCCCATTCGGGGATTTGTCGGTGGTTTCCCGGGGGGGCTGTCCAGGGAACTCCCACGCCGATCGCCTCGCCCTCGCGCTCGACGGGACGGCGCGCGGGAGAGCGTAGCCCTCATCCCGCCCCCAGGAGGGGGCACCCGCCGCATGGAGTTTTGCGGGGCCATGCCGCCGACGGGGCCACGATGACGCTGGCGGGGTGGTTGTGCTTCTCCTCGGGCGCGTGCTCCGATTTGGGCTTCGGGACAAAAGCAACTCTGGGCCTCCCAGGTGGGGTCCGAGTAGATGGGGTCGGAGGATCGCGCCGCATCGCCGATGCGTCGGCGATGCGGCTTGATGTGGAGCCCGATCTTCTCCACGCCGACTTCGCCGTTGCATCGCCGATGCATCGCCGATTCAGTTCCATTCTCCGACCCCATCCACTCGGACCAACATTGACATAACAAGTGCTTGTGCGGATTTGCCAGTGTAGAATGGGGGCTCGCCGTCGCATCAGTGCCTCGTACTGTTCCCTTCAGCCGTTGCCAGTCCTGCTCGCTGTATGTATCGCGGCGCCTTGAGCTACTGGGTATCGATCTGCCAGCAAAGCTGGCTGGCTGGCGAGACCAAACTGTAGCGCCCTACAGCAGTCCAAAAGCAGCCCTCCTCGCCCGACCTCCGCCCGACCCCGCGCGTGGCCCAGGCGCACCAGGGCTTCGCGACCCTGCTCCCCACCGGCGTGACTGCGGCGGCCGGGGGGGGGGCGTGAAGCGTGCCCCCTCCCCCAACGCCCCCTTCCTCTTCAGGGCGGGAGGGGGGGGGGGAGGGCAGAGGTGCGGGGAACGAAGAACGACGCAAACGTAAAAGCTCCGAGGTCCGCGCGGATGCCTCGGATCCGCGCTACGGCCCCCTGGCGGCGCCTCCGGCGCCGCCCCCAGGCGCGCTCCGCGCGCCAGGGAGGGTCCAGCACGGATCCGAGAAATCCGCGCGGACCTCTGAGTCTTTATGTGTGTGTCATGATTCGTTCCCCTAGAGGTCGGTGGGGGGGTGGCGGGCAGAGGTGTCCCTGGCCCCAGGTGTCCCCCTCATCCTGCCCCTCTCGGCCATCGGGGTGGGGGGCGGCCTCTCCCTAGCCCGAGGGGTGCCAGCGGTGTTCCCGGCTGGAGCTGCCCAAGGTGTCCCTGGCCCGAGATGTCCCTGGCCCGGGGTGCCCCTCCTCCTGGCCTCTCTCCTCCTCCTCCTCTTCCTTCTCCTCCTCCTCCTCCTCCTCCTCCTCCTCCTTCTCGTCCTCCTCCTCCTCCTCCTGCTCGTCCTCCTCCTCCTCTCCTCCTCCTCCTCCTCCTCCTCCTCCTTCTCCTTCTCCTCCTCCTCCTCCTCCTCCCCTCCTCCTCCTCCTCCTGCCTCCTCCTCCTCCTCTTCCTCCTCCTCCTCCTCCTCCTCCTCCTCCCTTCTCCTCCTCTTCCTCTCCAGCTGCTCGAGGGAATCCCTGCACCAGCGCAGCCTCCACTCTCTTTCGTACCTTTTACCTTCTCCCTGGCACACCACCCGCCAGGATCAGCACGCCTGGCGGACGCGAGCCTGGGCGCGATGTGCGCCCGCTAGGCCGGCGGATGGCGGCGGCGGCGCGACAGCTTGCACAGCTTCGGATTGTGCTGTACAGTCCACTCTCTGTATTGGAACCGCAGAGGCTGGTGGACATATGGCGATCGGTTCGAGCAGACATTGTACTCCTTCCTGGGACGCGGATGAGGGCCCAACAGGGCCATGCTGTGACACGGATGCAACTGGGAGGGGGGGCCTTCGCCTTGAACGCAGGATGGAGTTCAGGACCCTTCTCGAACAGCTCGGCGGGATGTACAATGCTGGTGGGAAACATGTTCAGGGACAAACATATCAGGAGCATCGACACCCCCCCAGAGGCTGCACAAGGTAGAGGCCTGGCGGTTCGTCTTCGGAATCGTAGCATCGACCTGAGCATTGTGCTGATATACGTCCCCCCCATCGGGGACGCCTCGGCGAAGAAGCGGAAGGCCTTGGAGAAGGGGTCCACACAGATCATCAGATGGGGAATCCAGCAGGTTCAGAGAGCACCCAACAGGTCCACTCCGATCGTCGCGGGGGACTTCAATACCCAGATGGGCCTCAGAGGGGGCTCAAGAACATTCTCGCCTTCGGCATCGGCGTCTTGGTGGGAACAGGAGCGGCCCTTAGCGGGCCCGTACAACATGGGGGAGCAGAACGTGATCGGCAATCTGATCCAGGATGAGTTGTTGGCCCCTCTGGAGATGTTTGATGCTGTTACCTCGGATAGACGGGGGGGGGCCGACATACTATTCATACAGTGGCCACACGTCTACCATCGACCACATCTTCATACCACAGGGGCTCAGAGACCAAGTATCGGCCTGTAAGGTACTATGGAACCCTGCAAAGCGCCTTCAGCTGATCCCGTCCCAGAACCCGAGAGACCACGTCCCGATCTTGCTGCAGATGACCATTAGGAAACAGTACGAAACAGCGTCGGCCAGAGATGAACGGTGGGATCGACACAAACTGTCGGCAGCGGTCCAGCGCGGAGTGGAGAGGCCGGAGTTCATGGAGGACCTAGAGAAGGCCATGCAGGAGCACGAAGACGAGATGCAACGACGTCTACAAAGGGGTGAGCTGGACCGAGCATGGCAGGGATGGATGGATGTTGTTCGCAAGACAGGACTCGAGCACTTCGCCCAGAAGAAAAAGGAGGCCGACCCAGCAGTAGCGGCACTGAGATCACGGCGACTGGAGCTGGTCAGAACACGGAGTGAACTTCGAGTTGAACTACGTGGGGTGGGCGAAGAGCAGGGAATACGACGATGGACGGCACGGCAGCACACCACTACAGATTCGGATCATTTGAATCGAGTATGTGAGATTGACACATGCAGAGTGACGGCAGATGGAGATGACGAGACTGCTGCAGGATCACAGATGCCAATGAGGAGTGTTTCGCCTACGAGTATTCTATCGGAGGATTTGGAAGCAAAGGCCGAGGCGATCAAGGAGGAGCTGCGAGAGATAAAAAAGATACTTCGACAAGAGAGTCGACAAGCTTGGCATGAGTCGCGAAGAAGATTGGAGGCAGAAATTGCAGATGCACATAATAAACATAAGCACGCTGATGTACATCGACTGATATTTCTACATGCAGCGCAGCACGGGGGACCTCGGAAACGAAAGTATAATCTACCATCGACATTTGAGAGCAGAACTGAATGGCAGACACAGCTGAGCCTACCAGCAGTTGGCGGTGGGATGGACGCAGTTGAATTAGATGTTGAGAGACTGATTAGTTTCTTTAGCACGCAATCACCAGCGGTTTCAACGGATGATGAAGAACTCGAGCGAACCGAGCTCCAGGGGCGACAGGATTTTCAGGCCACAGTACGACGCCTTCGACGAAGTGCCAAACGACGAGCTGCCCCCCCGTGGAGCCTTCCGCTGGAACTGCACCTGATGGCCGCAGACCCCAAGTACCTCTCAGTGGGACCTCAAGAGTACCTAGGGCTTGGAGCTACCCCAATAGCACAGACGGAATCCACGACCTCAGCTCGACTCCTCGAGGATCTTCATATTTTATGTAGGAGAATGAAGCGTACACCCGTACTGGGGAATCTGGCATGGGGGGTATCGATCGCGAAGCACAACGGAAAGGTGGGGACGCTGGGTAAACGTCTGATTAATGTGATGTGTCCATACTGGAAATGCTTCTACGGGGGACTGTTGAAGCACAACTTGTACAAAAAAGGGGTCCACTGGCCGGCTGAGTTTCATGGTTTCCTTCCCCGACGGAGGAGAGAGGACGCAATCGCAGTGCAGATGTGCATGGGCCATTTCTATCGTACCTATCGTATTGCACACTTGAATCACTTGCATGATATGTCGAATGCCTTTGCCTCCACGACGGCGCGTGCGAGGACTGAGGCGATCAATGAGCTCTTCACCCCTCCCGACGCAGCGTTGATGCATTCCAGATCTCAGACCTCAGGAATCGTGATGATCTTCGAGACGGGGGGTGCACAGCCTTGGCAGGATCCCAGAAACCTAGCCGTTCGACACCAACGAGGGGGTCTTATGGGGTCTAGTGAGGAGCCCGTGGTGTTCGCGAAGGTAATGGAGAACCCTATGAGATCCTGGATCGACGAACGGGCGGTGAATGAGACGGCCACGCACCTGAGGTGCGGCATATATTCTTTGTGCTGTGGGGCGACGACCGTGTACGCTGACGATATATTCGATAAGATGCCGATCGACGATGCGACACAGACCAAGATCGAAGAGAAACTAAAACACAGCGACGACGTGCTCGATGGGGTATTGGGGGCTAAGGGTCTTATTCAGAACTATAGTAAGCGAGAAACCGTACCTTGCCTTCGCAGTCATCAAGCGAACCGAGACTTCTCGGCCGAGTTTAAGATGGGCAAGGCACGAGCTAGAGCTAGATACCTGGGCTGCCGCTACGCCTGGAATCTATCGAGCATGGAGGAGTTTCGCTATCGCTGCGCAGCCGTCCACGCTGGGTGGGGGAAGCTTGGTAAGTTCTGGACCAGCCGTACTAGTAAGTCCCTGAAGATACTGGCCTTTAGGGGCCACGTGGTGGAAGCAGCATTATCCGCGAACGAACCCTTCGTGTTCCCGAGGGCCCAGACCCAGCAGTTGGACGGGATTATAACTAAGTACCTTCGTGTTTTGGAGCGTGGCAAAGCCACGGATTGGACAGGCGAGCACCCGCACTCGTCATCGAATTCGACGCTTAGGCAGAGGTGGCGCCTGATACCGATCCGCTTCGAGCAGGCGGCCAGACGCCTCGGATGGGTGCAGCAGATGGCCAAGGACGCCCTCGCGCACCAGCAGGTGATCGCCTCGATTTGGGGGCATCTCGAAAACAGACCTCCCTCTCTTGATGATGACGGGCATCTCCGCACGTGCGCACCCCCATTGGCTTTCCAGATAGAGCGAGACTTCTGGGCGTTTGCGGGTATTAGCGGTACTGAGGACTTCTTCGAGGCCTGGGAACGATGGGATTTCTCTTGGAGGGCTCTATTCCTGGAAGAAGAAGTTCGGGAGGTGTGGCTGAAAGTTGACCCCAAGATCTTGGAGGCCTCAATTTTGCACGAGGGGGAAGCACGATTTCGGAGCCGGCTCAGGGGCCCTGCGAGGGCCTTCGAACAGGAGGGAGATAATGAGGAGCCCACGACATATATATGTAACCTGAAGGACTCCCAGGGGAATATGTGCCTACAGGAGTTTGAGTCTAGAGGAGGCCTACTAGCTCATCAATCCAGATCCGTTGGAGGCGAGCATGGTAAGTTGAACCCCTTGTTCTCGACCGTCTTGACAAACATGTGTCCATGGTGTCGTACCGCGTTCTCGTCCAAAGATAGTGCTCGTCAACACGTTCGTACCGCATGGTTGACCAACAGATGTAGACTCAATCGTACTGCCTTCGACTGGGATCTAATTATACCCAAATCTCTGCAGTGCCCAATGTGTGAGCATGACTTCGACACACTCGCAGAATACCATGATCACGCCGTGGAATATCACCTCCCTCCACCTCCTCTTGTGGTTCAGCCTCGTGTGCGTAGGGAGCAGCGCACCGAACGAGCGGGCGTACCCAGCCATGGCACTGGTGCTGACGAGCGGCACCGACAGCAAGAAGGAGCCCGAGTTCCAGCGAGCGGTCAGGCGCCGCGACGAGGGGAACGGCGGCCAGACGGCTCAGAAGACCACCGCAGGCGTCAATGGCCACAACAAAGGGCTGTACGTGCTGATGATGAAAATGCTGCTATCGCTCGCCCAGAGCCGTCGGAACATCGAGGGGGTGCTGTTCGACGTGCTGATCGTCCCAGCCGAGCTCCCCGAGGTGCTGAAGATGCAGGAGCAGGGCTCGGCCTACAACGCCCAGGTTCAGGCAAAGGGCAAGGGCCACGGGCTCGGCGCCCCCCACCTGTTCGTGTTCGGGGGTCTACTGGAGGCGCTGCTGCTGCGCCAACAGAGCATCGGCAAAGTGAACTTCGAGAAGCTGACCGAGTTCAAGGCTCGGCTCCAGACACTCGACTACGAAGGAAAGATGGACATCATCCGCTTCACCAAAGTAGACAGGTGCTACGACCAGGGCAAGCGCAGGATCACGCTGTGCCTCCAGGAGGGCCGCAAGGAGGTGATCAGCTCCCTCCAGCAGCTGGGCGCGGAGCTGAAATCGGGCAGAGCGCCGGCGAGCCACATGGAGAGAGAGTTGCAGGAGTGGCTGGAGGTTTTTCTGCAGTAGCCGAGCATGCACGGCAGACCACTACACTTTCGGATCATCTTGAATCGAGTATGCCTGAGATTGACACAAGTCTTGTGACGGCGGAGGGAGATTCGAGGATGACCACATCACAGGCGGGAAGAACGTCAGCGACTGAGCCGGCCCACAGTCCCCGACCGACTGTGCACGAGCGCCAGCCGCAGGCAGTGCAATCGGACGCGGAGAGGAGCCCGACGGGGGAGAGTGTCAGAGAAGCTCGGGGCCGCTCGGGATCACAGATGCCAATGAGAACGGCTTCGCCTTGGAGGGTGTCCTCGGGGTCCACGGGATCACAGATGCCAATGAGGAGAGTTTCGCCTATGGGGAATTCCTCTGGGTCGACGGGATCACAGATGCCAATGAGGAGGGTTTCGCCTTGGAGAGTTTCTTCGGGGTCTACGGGATCACAGATGCCAATGAGGACGGTTTCTTCGGGGACGTCGGGATCACAGATGCCAGGGAGGAGGGTTTCGCCTTCGAGGGCGTCTTCGGGGTCGAGGGGATCACAGATGCCAATGAGGAGTGTTTCGAACCCACCCTTTTTGGAAAATATGACCAGAGACGCATCGATTTCGGAGAGCACGGAGGTACGCAGATATGTGATGAGACATGGAGGGGATGAACCAGAAGGAGGATTGGAGGTAGCACGATATCTGAAGGCTTTAGGAGTAGAGGAAGGCACCGCACGCTGGCAAGCGCTAAGTAGGAGCAGGCATGTCTTGGCAATGGTACGTAGAGAGTAGTTGTGCAGTGGAGTCCGCTGGCCTAGACTCGGGTAACTCGTGCTCGGGTTTAGTGCCTCGGGCGGTGCACCAGGTTTCGGTGCAGCCTTGGGGCCAGCGTCCCCAGGCGTTTTGGATCCTCAATATGAGGATAGTCTCTGGGCCTCTGAATGTCTAGTTTTATAGACGAACTTGGCCCCCACGGAGTGTTTCTTCTTTCTTTCTTCTTCCTCTTCCTCTCCCTCCTCCGCCTCCTCCTCATTCTCCTCCTCCTCGTCTCCATCTTCCTCCCCTCCTCCTCCTCCTCCTCCTCCTCCTGCTCCTCCTCTTCCTCCTCCTCCTCCTCCTCCTCCTCCTCCTCCTCTTCCTCCTCCTCCTCTTCCTCCTCTCTCCTCTTCCTCCTGGCCTCTCTCCTCGTCCTCCTCCTCCTCCGTAGCCATTTTGGCTCAAGCCATCTTGGCTCAGGTAATGTTGGTTCCAGCCATTTTGGCTCAAGCCATTTTGGCTTAAGCCATTTTGGCTCAAGCCATTTTTGGCTCTAGGCTGCGGACGCGCCCTCGGGGCGAAGCGAGCGCGCGCATGGCGGCCCCCCGGGCTGCTGCCGGCACCAGCGCGCACTTCACGGCGGTGCTAGAGGGGCATCCTCGGTGCTCGCCGCATGCGCCGCGGGCTGCAGGAGTGGCTGCTGCGCCTCGCTGTGGAGGAGGCGGCGAGGGCGGCCATCGGCAGCGGCGGTGGTCCCCGCCGGGCCTGCGGCACCTCGGCGTCGTTCGAGGACACGCTCGCCCAGGCGGGGAAGCTCATGGGCAGGAAGGGCAGTGCCAGCACGGAGGACGTGCGCGTGGCCTTCCGCCATGTCCAGGAGGAGGAGGTGTCCCAGGACTGGTCGCAGTTTCGTGCGAGCCGCAGGGGTGCTGCGCACCCCACGGAGCGGGGTGGCCGAGCGAGCCCCGGCGGCCCCTGCTGCGCAGATGCGCCCGCTCGACGAGCAGGCGACCCTTTCGGCGCAGACGGAGGACCTGCTCGAGGAGCTGCAGGTGTTCTGCCAGGGCGTTGAGTCCGAGGAGGCCACGCCCGACGACGGTGAGCTGGACAACTGCGCGGAGACCCACTGGCAGGGCGCCGGGTCCGAGGAGCCTGCGCCCGCCGTTGACGGCCACGTGGGAGTGCAGGTGGAGCTGGAGGGCGTCGAGAAGTCTTGGGACCAGTTCGGCATGTGCATCGAGGTGAACGTGCACGGGACCAGCGACGTGGAGGCCTAGTTGGAGGATCCCTTAGAGGAGGCCCAGGCCGAGCCCCTCGACGTGCAGTTCAACTGCAGCCAGGACCTGGCCATCGCCAGGGGCCTGGCGGAGGAGCTCGCGGAGGAGCTCATGGAGGCCCGCGCCTCTGCCTGGGAGGCCAAGCGCAGCGCCATACCGACGGAGCAGACGGGCGAGTTCGCCAACGGGAGCCAAGCAGCGGCAAAGGGGTGCGGTCGGGAGCGCTGCGGCGGCCACCCGACGGCCCTATTGTGTGAAGGCCCCCATCAGAAGACTGGCAAGGAGCGCAAGGACGGCCAGGACGTGGACGAGGCGGGCTTCGACCTCGGGAAAGAGACGGCTGCGCCCCGCTCGCGCTGGGCGGATTACCTGTGCGCGTCCACCTCCCTCGCTGTGGACGGGAAGTCCGAGGACGTCGTCGGCGCTTTCGACGCCGAGTTCGCGCAGGAGGCACCCGTCGACGAGGCGCCCCGCGCGCAGCACGACCAGGACGTGGGCCTCGCGGGCACCAAGGCGGAGGCCGCGCGGCGGCAGGCGCCAGGGCGGCGCCGCGCGCGCCGTCGTGGCCGCAGTGGCCGCAGGGAGCGATGGCCCTCCTGCGAGCGCCGCCTTCGCCAAGGCGCCCGAGGAGGCCACCGAGCAGTTCGAGGAGGAGGATGAGGAGGAGGAGGAGGAGGAGGAGGAGGAGGAGGAGGAGGAGGAGGAGGAGGAGGAGGAGGAGGAGGAGGAGGAGGAGGAGGAGGAGGAGGAGGAGGTCGGAGTCGACCTCGACGACGACGATCGGGCCCTGCTCGGCGCGGAGCCCGCGGCTCCCCGCAGCGAGCACGGCCCCGAGAGGGAGAGCACTGCGCATCGGTGGCGCGCTGCCGCCGAGCGCCGCGGGAGCGAGCTCGAGGGCTGCATGCCGATCCGCCGGCCCGCGCAGAGAGCTGCGGCATCGGCCGGCCGCTCCTCGCGCACGGCAGCGAGCGCAAGCGTCAAAGGGCGGCGTGCAGACCGCCCCGCCCGCGGAGAGCTACAGCAGCGGGGCCCCTGCGAAGACGGCCAGGGCGGGGAGGCGGACGCTGCGTCCCTGGGTCCCCTCCTCCTCCTCGTCCTCCTCCTCCCTCCTCCTCTCCTCCTCCTCCTCCTCCTCCTCCTCCTCCTCCTCTCCTCCTCCTCCTCCTCCTCCTCCTCCTCCTCCTCCTCCTCCTCCTCCTCCTCCCCCCCCCCCTCCTCCTCCTCCTCCTCCTCCTCCTCCCTCCTTCTCCTCCTCCTCCTCCTCCTCCCTCCCTCCCCTCCTCCCTCCTCCTCCTCCTCCTCCTCCCCTCCTCCTCTCCTCCTCCTCCTCCTCCTCCTCCTCCTCCTCCTCCTCATCCTCCTCCTCCTCCTCCTCCTCCTCCTCCTTCTCCTCCTCCCTCGGGGGTTGCCACAAGGGACCCTGGCCAGAATTGGCGGTGCCCACCGCCCACCAGAGGGGATGCCACGTTCTGCCATGTGGCGTCTTCTTTTGTCGCCCCGCTGTGTTGCGTTGTCGTTCCGCTTTCCCCCCATGTTCGGTGCGCCACCCGGATCGTCTTCTGTTGTTTCTTCTGCCCCCCCCAGTGGCGAATGCCGCTGGAGGGGGGGGGGAGGGGGGGCAGCGTTGTTGATCAACCCTGATGCCCGCATCAGTAAGGCTTCAGGAAGGGGAGGAGTGAGGAGGACGAGGAGGGAGGAGTAGGCCGGGACATGACTCGGATGACGGCCAGACGAGGGGGATAATGTCCCCTCCCCTCTTCCTCCCATCCCTCCAACATCTCATCCCTTCCTCCGTTGACGGATGCTGAAGATGTGACGAATTGCTCCTCCTCCTTCTCCTCCTCCTCCTCCATCCCCTCCTCCCTCGTGTCAGGGGCGACCTGACCGACCCCTGACGAACCGACCCCTTCCTTGGCGACTACCCCCTCGCCTCGCTCCAAGACGCGTGCGTGCGGCCGAAGGGGACGCCTCGGGCGAGGGGCCGGCCATGCACGGAAGGGCCTCGCCACCCTGGACACCCGACGAGGATTTGTTTTTCCTCTCCTGAGCGCCGCCCCAGAGTTCTCGACCCCTCCTCCTCCTCCTCCTCCTCCTCCTCCTCCTCCTCCTCCTCCTCCTCCTCCTCCTCCTCCCCCTCCTTCCCCAAGGGGCCAGCTGCTGGCCCGCGCAGCCCTTGGACGGCCCCCGGGGCCCGAGCGCAAGACGCCAAAGGGGGCCCCTCTGAGCAGGACCGCCCGGGCGGCACCGCCTCGTCGCGGAGCCGAGGCCCCCGCCCGCTCGGCGCCCCCCCCCGTGGGAGGTGGGCGCGGACCCCGTGCTGGGCGACTGCCGCTACGGCCTCGCGTGCGGGCGCGGCGCCCAGAGGCGGAGGCTCGCGCGCGGGCGCGTGCCCGCGCGCCCGGCCCGGCCGTTCGCCCCAGGCGTCGCGCGCGGCAGCGTCGTCGTCGTCGTCGTCGTCGTCGTCGTCGTAGTCGTCGTCGTCGTCGTCGTCGTCGTCGTCGTCGTCGTCGTCGTCGTCGTCGTCGTCGTCGTCGTCGTCAACGCCGTCGTCGTCGCTGCAGAAATTCTCACTCCTGAACAATAGTTGCTGTTGGTGGCCCCCCCTCTTCTGTGCACGTGTTGCGCTTTTCAACTCAGGCGCGCCTCCCGGGGCTCGCACCTGGTTTTCCGCCAGGAAAGGATTGAGCCTCAGGCTGCGCCTTTGGCCCCCGAGCTGCCACAACAACGGCTCCCGCCAAGTATCTCCTCACCATGTATTTCAAGATCGCGCTCCCGCGCGGGACTCTCACAATTTATTCCGGAATCGCGCTCTCGCTCGAGATTTCCTCGCACTTCAGTCAAGTTGGCGGAGGCCCAGCCACGACGACAAGGGCTCCTGCTCGATACTTCCTCACGATTTTCTCCGAAGTCCCTGGTCAAGAAGGCCCCCGATTTCAGGAACGGCGCTCTCGCTCGGGACTGTCTCGTAATTCAGGCAAGTTGGTGGAGGCCCGGACACGGCGACAAGGTTTCCCGTTCGATATTTCTCCGTAGGTTTTCCGAGAGCGCCTGGCACGGGAGGCCTCCGATCTCAGGAACGGCGCTCTCACTCGAGACGTCCTCGCACTTCAGTCAGTGGCCGACAAGGAAGAGATTCCCCTCGAAAGGGGGTGCAATCGACTACGAAGTGGGCGGGTATCGAGGGTTGGGGTACGGAGTGCAAGACACGCGTGCCAGTAAGAGCGAACAGTCTTAAAATGATTGTTGTTGTTGCTGCTGCTGTTGTTGCTGCTGCTGTTGCTGTTGTTGCTGAATGATAATTTCTAAACAATTATTATTGTTGGACCCCCCCAGGCGCTTTGGCGCTCTCGCCTTGACGCTGGCTGCATTTTCATTTAAACTTGTGCTCACGCTCGAGCGGTTTGGGGGGCGCCAAATCCGGCCCCCCAGCAACAACGACGCTCCCGCTCGAGGCTTCCTCTTTTTTTTCTTTCTCGGGACGACGCTGTTCCTCGCCGCGACAGCCCCCGTGCCGACAAAACCACGGCTCCTGCTCGAGGTTTTTTTCCCTTCTTAGTCAAGACAGTGCGCTTCCCCGCCGCCGACAACCGCCGTCCCAACAAAACCAGCGTTCCCGCTCGAGACTTCGTTTTGTTTTACGCTGGACTAGCGCCCTACTCTCTTCAGCATTGGCGCCGCTGCCAGCAACAACAGCGGCCCTGCTCGAGACTTCCTCCCTTTCTATTCAGGACCAGGTCCTTGCCTCGCCGCCGACAGCCCCCATCCCCACCAAGGCAATCCTGTCGCTCGATATTCCCTTTTGCTTTACCCTTGGCTGGGGCTCCACTGGTGGTTTCGCATCGGCGCAGCAAGGCGCGGGCATGTGTTTTCGAGGCGGGATGGGTTGAAAGTCCTCGGAGGAGGTGTTTGCAAGACCTCATTGGGCGGGATATCTGGGAATGGGAATAACGGGCCCCGCTGTAGAACAACAATCCCCCATGATGGGGATGGTTATCATGATGGTGGCATGCTTCGTGTGGAAACATCGCGCATGAGGATAAACTGATTGTTGTTGTTGTTGTTGTTGTCGTTGTTGTTGTTGATTCCCATTTCAGGAATGATGATTGTTGTTCCCCCCCTGCCCGGTGCACATTGTGTCATTTCCAAGGAAAGTGTTTCTCCCAGGGCTCGCACCTTGTTTTGTACAAGGGGGAGCCTTCCTCCTCAAACCGTGCCATCTCCATCGTTGACATCGAGGGGTTGGGATGTACGTGTTGGGTGGCACGCGGGTCGGTAAGAACGAGCAGTCTCAACATGGTTGTCGCAGTTGTCGGCGGCGAGCGAGGAGGGAAGTGAAAAGGAGCAGGCCTTCTCAGATGGCAGCGGGGCTTCTCAGAAGGCCTCGGACCTTCTGAGATGCCGTCTGCGTCTTCGGGCCGGGGACTCCTCCCTCCTCCTCCTCCTCCTCCTCCTCCTCCTCCTCCTCCTCCTCCTCCTCCTCCTCCTCCTCCCCCCTCCTCCCCTCCTCATCCTCTCTCCTCCTCCCCTCCTCCTCCTCCTCCTCCTCCTCCTCCTCCTCCTCCTCCCTCCTCATCCTCCTCCTCCTCCTCCCCCTGCTCCTCCTCCTCCTCCTTCTCCTCCTCCTCCCTCCTCCGCCGTGGGTGGTCGCAAAGGGGATTGGCATACAGTGGAGACCCGTGCCAAGCACACCCTGCTTGCCTCCAGGGTGCCCTGGGTTTCTTGGGTCACGATGGTATTGCGATGGAACGCGTGGCGTTCTCACCAGATGTCAGTGGACGTCCTTGGATCTCAGGGTTGGGTTTCTTGTGGAAGGTTTCTTATGGGCTGGTCTCCATTATGGTCGGGCCGAACGAAAGGGGGGGATAGAACACGGGGGGGGTACGAAATCTGCTGCATGCAGCTGGTTTCGGCCCCGCCGCTGGGCCCATTCCTCGATGCATGGGCGCCCCCCAGCGCCGGGAGGCGCTGGGAAAATCAGCTACGTGAGCTGGTGCTCTACCCTACCCTTTGCTATCCCCCCCTTTCGGAGGAGGAGGAGGAGGAGGAGGAGGAGGAGGAGGAGGAGGAGGAGGCCCCCCGACGTGGTGGGGGCGCATCGACCTCGCATCGCCCCTCGAGCCCCCCGCCAGGGGGCTCGACGGCCCCAGCCCGCCCAGGCAGGTGCGGCTCCGCTATCGGGGGTCCCTCGCCGAGCAGTCGACGGTGTGCAGTCAAGACGCTGAAATAAGGAGCAGTTTGGGTTCGCAAGGGGCTCGATGTTCCTTGGGCTCCTCCCGTGCTGTTCCTCTTGCCCTCCTGGGCGCGGGGGCGCTTACAGGGCCAAAAAGGGGCTTCGTTCCTTGTGTAGCGGTCCTTCTTTCAGCGGCCCGACTGCATCGCCGATTCCAGGTCGGCGCATCCCCCCCTACACTTAAGTCGGGCCTGTCCCTCTACAGAGGGAATATGCAAACATAGTAAAAACATAGACCGGGGACTATTTTTTGAGTATTTTTGGGCATCTTTTGAGTTGTTTTTTGTATTTCTGTTTTTCGTTCAAAATCCCCCTGTAGGGGGACAGGCCCGACTGAACCCTGCACCAGTCCCCCCCTAATGCATTTCGTTGCCGCTTGGCTTGGCGCCGTGGGTTGGGCCACCTCGCAGAGCTCGACCCATTTGCTTCAGGGTCGACGCTGCTCCCGTCGGTTACGAGAGCCTAGGCTGTGTCAGGCTCTGAGCGCATGGTTGAACTATCGGAATCGTTCCTGCACCTCCTGCGCCTCTGCCTCTAGAGACGCGTCTCTGCCTCCAGGGACGCAGCCCTGGCGCATTAAAGAACATGGCGGCATGCCAGGGCGAAGCCAATCTGCAAGCAAGCCCCACCCCATCAAAGCCACCCACTGGATGCTCTGGAGGCGGGGGGGGCGGAAGGGGATTAGTGCGCTGGCTCTTACCAAAAAAATGCAAGTCCCCCCCTTTATCGTTGCCCCTCAGAGGCGCATCCGCCCCCGCCGAATTCCTCGAGCGTGCACCGCCCGCCTCTCTTCTCCCTGGGCCTCGGTGCTCCTTCGTGGGCGCGTTGCGAGGCCGGCCTGAGCATGCCTGGAGTCCTGTGCTTGGGTGAAGGTGTGCAGGTCAGAGCCCCGAATCATCAGGGGTAACTCGGGTCAGGGATAACTCGGGTTCCTTTTTCGGGAATCCAAACCCGAGTTACCCTGGACCCGAGTTACCCCGGATAACTCGGGCGCCCAAGCAGGTGCTCGCGGTCGGCAGGGGCTGCGAGGCGAGAGGGCGGAGGAGAATCTACGGCCCACCCGCGCAGGAAGAGGGAGCGACTTCCCACGGCTACCCGGACACCCTTGTCCCTGCGTCAGTGGAGGGAAAGCTGCCCAGGCCCGATGATTGGCGTTTGCTAAACGGCCCGGGGCGTTTACTGAGCAGCCCTGCCCTGTTCGCTTCCTTCTGGGGGTGCGTTTACTAGACGGCTTCACGTGTCGGGGTGATTCTGATGGGGATGCATTTTCTGCCCTCTACTTCGGGCCATCTTCGGAAGCTTTCGCGAGCCAGCCTCGCTCGAGAAAATGTCAACGTGGCCCTCTAGGGGCCTTGCATCCTCACCGCGCATCATTATTGTGCGGGTTGGCTGCGTGCCGGCCAGTGCTCAGCCTTCCGCCGAGCGCAGAGTGCGGCCAGCCGAAGGGCGGCGGCCAACTCCCCCCGTGGCCACAGCTCACCGTTGCTGAGGTTCGACTTGGCGCGAGCCAAAGCAGAACCCCCTCCCCAGAGATCCGGCGCTCCAAAGAAAATTGTAGCGGCGGGATTTGGGCAATTTTCGGCCTCGGGGGGCCCTCGCTGGGCCTCGGGAGTGTCAAAAACGACTCGGGATGAAAAACCGGCCCCAGGGAAGTGGTCCGGACCTCTGGGGCCCGCGCACCGAAAAAATTGGAGCGGCCCGATGTCTGGGTCCGTTGCATCCCCTCTGTCACTCTAGGCCTCCCAGACGGGGTCGGAGTAGGTGGGGTCAGGAGGATCGCGCCGCATCGCCGATGCATCGGCGATGCGGCTCGATGCGGATCCCGATCTTCTCGACGCCGACGTCGCCGATGCATCGTCGGCTTCGCTGGCGCACCACCAATGCATCGCCGAGGCATCGGCTCAGACCCCATCTGGCAGGCTTCTGTCCATGCTCTGAAGGTAAGAGAGGCGGCAGGCGATCATTGGCCGTTTGCAGCTCGGCGGTGCTCCGAGGCACTACAGCTCCGCCCGGATAACGGACGTCACCCTGCAGGCGTGCAGCGACGCCGAGGCGGTGTGCGGTGTTACGCTCATGAGGTCATATGCGAGAAGAGGCGGCCAGGACAATGTTGCAGAATGTCAGGAAGTGATGGCACGAGCATAGGGGCAGCAATACACACACACACAACACACACACAACACACAACACACACACACAACACACAACACACACAACACACAACACACACAACACACAACACACACAACACACAACACACACAACACACAACACACACAACACACAACACACAACACACAACACACAACACACAACACACAACACACAACACACAACACACAACACACAACACACAACACACAACGCAACACACAACACACAACACACAACACACAACACACAACACACAACACACAACACACAACACACAACACACAAACGCACAGCACACAAAGCACAACACGCAACGCGCAACACACAACACGCAACACGCAACACGCAACACACAACACACAACACACAACACACAACACACAACACACAACACGCAACACACAACACACAACACACAACACACAACACACAACACACAACACAACACACAACACACAACACACAACACACAACACACAACGCACAACACACACCACACAACGCACAACGCACCACACAC